AAAGTATGTGTGAGCTTCCATTAGTTTTATTAGAAAAGACATCCTGCAACCCAGGTATATTTTCAGGCTTTGTGCCTTTGTTTTATTAAGTACTTTGACCCAAAATTTCAACCTTGCAAAGGTGACGTTAAACTAAATGAAACAACATTAAACAATTAAAAAGAATTATTTAAGTATTTTAGAAGGAGAAGGCAAAATGGCCTGCTCAAAATTAGCTTATCATTTGGCAAAAGATTTTTGATTACCTTGATGAACTGAGTTCTCAGAATTTAAAACTGTTGACAGTTTACCAAAGCTATTTTCAACAATTATATCCAATGATTAGTTGTAATATTGGCATATCATATTAGAAAGCAATTTAAATGTTTTCAGTTTGTACAAAATATCAGCATATTGTTATTTTTCAGCACCAGCGGATCTTTATTTCCAAAAAGAATATTTGAAATGATGAGAATGCCTTCTTTAACCTGTGGGCATTTGTGGCTCTCAATCGGAGAAACATTCTATGGCAAACGATGAGGCAAGGTACACAAACATTGAATCACTGCAGAGTGTGTATTTTCCTCAGCGCACTTGCATATGAACTTACCAACATATTCCACAGGACACATAGCATTATTCTTGGAATTTTATTCAGTAAGTTTTTTCATTTTATTTTCTCTACTTGCTATAAATTAGAATGCCTCAATATCATGTGGATTAAAAAAGCTTGTACGAAATAAATAAAATTTGTTGCAGGAAGACATAACTTGACTATTCCGTTCAACCATTCCTTTTTACTTATGTGTGATGATAAAATCTACTGCGTATAAGCAAAGTTTAGCTAACTATTCAGCTCGATATTTATATCTCAGATTATTAACTCTCTAGGTGCTTAATCAAACCTTACATTATTCTTTACAGTTAGTACTTCTATCCCTTGACGACCGCAGGTCTCACTCAAATATGAAAAGTCCGCACCTTGGTAATATAACCCCTCGACCTTTCGCCCCTTAATAACATTTTCGTCAAGTGGATTCAAATCTAATACTACTTTATAAAAAAATGTCACTTCCATTAATGAGAATTTGATTAACTTGAAATCTATAACTGATATTTCAAATTGTTCTCTGTATAATTAGTAGAGTTTTTGTATGATATGAATTGAGACACGATAGTATTATGAATATCTTATTGTGAGAATTCCAGTTATTACACTTGAACTCTAATTATTATTTTTGGGACTCATGCAAATTTACCTACTATTTAAATTGGATATTTATTGCATAGATTAATCTAAATAAATTAATCGCTATATTCGTAATATAAGAAAAAAAACAGATCCACTTTATGTGTACTCTCATTATTATTTACACGTTCTATTTTTTAATTGAAATTATTCCGAGTATTAAAACCTAGATAAAAATTAAGATGTGATTAACAATAAGAATCTATAGAACCATGTTCCCTCTAATTTCTTTTTTCATTCTTTTTCCATTATTCTCAGTAGATCCGTAGAATTATTTTTGTTTAATACATCCCTCTTTTAGAATGGCTGTTTATGTTCTATTATAACAATAAGCACTTGTCATATCAAAAGTAACAATTCATCTATAATCCAGCGAAATGGTGTCCCATTTTCAATTTTTCTAAATCTGATTTAAGACAAATAATGCATATATTATCGGAAGCTTTATGTAATTACTTAAAGGAAATTGTCACAATCTTTTAAAAAACGTTATTTTCTTCTCATCATTCATCGTCCTGCTATAAAAAAACTGAAAGCTGAAAACACTGGTGAAAAATCCGATATACTTAGAAATTAGTTAAGAATGAATAATAGAACAAGCCGGAGTTACATATTATTCTTCAGAGCTCTCCCCACTAATTGACCAATGACATCACTCTCCACTGGAAGTTACGATTTGTGGTGGAGCTGGTTTTTTTGTCTTCATGTAGTTATATTATGAAATGAATTTTGTCTTTTACATATATAATCAGCTCACAGAACTATCACCTAAGCCCTAGCCTAATATACACTCGTTCAATCTCTAAGAGTTGCGTATTGATGAGATTGAGAAACGAATACTGAATATGATAAACTTATCGTTTTTGTTCTCTTAAACCACGAAAAAATCTAATCTATTCCTATATTATTAAATGTAATATTTTGTCTTTTATTAAAGTACCCTTTAATGTAACTTTTTATACCTACCTTTAGAATTGAGAAAATAAATTTCACTTCAATATTTATATAAACTCAATCCCACCAGTTTTATTTTATTTATAGGCTATTGTTCCTCCTTCAAAATCATCAATACTCAATTAATTAGATTTCCAAACACATTATTTAACCTACCCATCAAATAACAGAATAATGCTAGCATATAACAATATCCCTAATATGTATTATAAGAAAAAACAATACATGATTTTGTATGTAAATCAGTTAATGTGAATAATAAGAAATGGGGTTCCCCAAAGCCATAAATATACATAGCTCTCGTCGTACACCATCCACCGGAGAGCGAACATTGGTGTTCCAGACCGTGCTTATATAAACAAATGTCACTATCCATACAGGTACTTTATGGATGCGAAAAGTGGTCGTAGGCCTCAGAAGTATAGAAAATGTAGATTTTTTTTCTTCAAAACCACTTTCAAATATGCTTGACATGCTGTATGCACAATATTATGGGCGTTATAGAAAATAAATCTTCAAGACTGCTTGTGCAAACACGAAGCGTCTCAAAGCAAAAAGACAAATGAAACTTTTTGTTCATCTAATTAGAAGAAAATAGTTTTATCCTATGTAACTCAGCCAATTTGTGCGTACACACACGCACTCATACGCGCGGACGCATGCACACACACATGCACACACACAGACACACACACATGCACACACACACAGACACACACACACAGACACACGCGCGCGCGCGCGAGGCACACATGCACAAACGCGCAAGCGTTGACTTCCATATCAAATTGAAACCAAGAGTTGCGATGACGCAAATGACTTCACAATATATTTTGAAATTCTAGATTAGGAGTTAAACTGTTTTTTGTTGTTGTTGTTGTTGTTTTGTTTTGTTTTTCAAGTGCTCATGTATAGACTTAAGGTTACCGCGCAAATAAATCTCCGGAGACATATCCGCCATCCTTCGTAAGTAGGTAGAAGGCGAAAATGTAGTGCGTCCCCATTGGAATAAGAGAGAGAGAGAGATCCAGCCAAAAATGCAAGCTGATGATACATGGTTGTATTCTTAGCTTCAATTTGAAATATGACTAATCGTCATTTCTCGTAATGCTGCAGCGAAAAGTGGGAGGTGCTTCGTAAGAAAACTCGTATTATGGGGTACCGATATAGAAAAAAGTAGATAAATGTTGTCCTTGTACGTAGTAAATTACTTGTTTCAAACGTGTGGTCAGAAAACCATGGTTTTTAGAGTACTTGATACCAAGAAGATAAAAAAAATTGGTGTATGTCCCATTGTAGGTAAACTGTATTTTCGAAAACGGCAAACATTTAAAATTGCGAAAGTACAATATTGATGATAGAGCTTTTTTTCCCTGATGAAATGTCTTCTTTAAAATTAAATATCTTGAAATAATATATATAAAAATAACTGAACCTTTGAAAAGTGCAATCACAATCGCAAATGCAAATATTAAACTTTCTTTTTGAAGTGACAGGAAGGTTCTGTTTGGCTTCCCAGTTTCTGAGAAAAGGTTTACTTGTTAAAAATTCTTTTGCAGGTTCATGATGTATTATAAATTGCGTAGCCATTACAAATGTGAGAAAGTATGTGATGTTGAGCTCCATTAGTTTTTATTAGAAAGACACCCTGGAACCCAGTATATTTTTGCAGGCTTTTGTGTGCCTTTTGTTTATAAATGTACTTTGACCCAAAATTTCAACCTTGCAAAGGTGACATTGAAAATAAATGAAACAAATTAAACAATAAAAAGAAGTTATATTAAGTATTTTAGAAAGGAGAAGGGCAAGAAGTGGCTCCTGGCAAGCATTAGTTCATTTTGCAAAAGGTATTTTTATTACCTATTGATGGATACTAGTTCTTCAGAATTTAAACTTTGACAGTTTTACCAGAAGCATTTTCAACAATTAATTCCTAATGATTTAGTGTAATATTGTGGTAATCATATTAGGAAAGCAATTGTTAAATGTTTTCAGTTTGTACAAAATATCAGCATATTGTTATTTTTTCAGGACCAGCGGTATCTTTATTTCAAAAAGAATATTTTGAAATGATGAGAAGTGCTCTTAAACCTGGTGGCATTGTGTGCTCTCAATCAGGAACATTCTATGCAAACATTGAGCAAGTGACACAAACATTGAATCACTGCAGGAGTGTATTTGCCTCAGCTGCACTTGCATATGTAACTGTACCAACATATCCAACAGGACAAATAGCATTTGTTCTTGGAAGTTGTGATCCAGTAAGTTTTTCATTTTATTTCTACTTGTAGAAATTTAAATCTCAATATCAGTGGATTAAAAAGGCTTGTACTGAATGTAAAATTTGTTGCAGGAAATTAAATTTGACATTCCTTCAATTTCTTTTACTGATGATGAACTGGAGCAGATGCAACTTCGGTATTATTCATCTGATATACATAGAGCTGCATTTGTATTGCCTCGATTTGCTAAAAAGATTTTGTCCAATGAATCTTCTACTTTATAAAAATTCACATTAAGATAATTGAGGTGAAAGTTTAACTGTTATTTCAAATTGGTTTTTTATAGTAGAGTTTTATTCTATTAGAATGATACCTGAATAATGAATCTTATTTGAAATTATTACCTTGGAACCTTTTTTATTTTTGGGGACGCATGCCAAACTGATTATTTTTCAGAGTTAATCCTAGAATTTTAAGAGTTTTTCTATTAGGAAGAATAGATACGTTTTATGTGTCTCTCAGATTATTTGTTACGACTCTATTTTTATGAAATATTCCTGTATAAAATTTGAAATAAAGATGTGGTACAACAAGCATGAACCTTTTTCTTTTTCTTTTTTTTCTTCTTTTTTCCTAATCTCAGAGATGTAAAATTAGTTGGTAATACATCCCTCTTTTCAGAATGGGCTGTTTTCTATTAAACAAAGCACTTGCAGTAACTTCATCTATAATTACTGAAATGTTGCTTCAATTTTCCTGATTAATGAAATCTCATAATTATGAGCTTTTTTTACTTAAAGGAATTAAACTTTTAAACTTTTTTTTTTCTCATCATCATCTCCTTTTAAAAGAACTGAAAGCTGAAACAGCTGTGAAAAATCATGACTTAAAATTAGTTAAAAGAAGAAAGAGACAAGCCATTGACATATTATCTTCAGTCTCTCCCCTGTGCAATGCATCCCTGTGCGAGTACATTGTGTGTTTTTTGTCTTTTCATTTTATTTATTTATGAATGAGATTTTGTTTATAATAATCAGTCACCAGTTACACCACCCTAGCTATACACTCGTCATTCTAAGGTGTGTGATTGATGTGAGAGTTAAACGAATTTGAACTTTACTATCGTTTTTTTCTTTAACCAGAAAACAATATATAATGATAGTTTTTGTTTGTTTTTTGTCTTTTTATTTATTTATTTATGAATGAGATTTTGCTTATAATAATCAGTCACCAGTTTATATTAGGCTATTGTTCCCCTTCAAAATCATCAATACTCAATTGTATTGGGAAAACCCTGATTTAGCCTTCCATCTATACAAATTGTCAAGCAAATATTGTATGTATTATAAGAAAACAATAATGATATGTGTATGTAAATCAGTTGTGGATAGAGGTTGCCCCATGGGGCTAGGAATACATAGCTCTCTCTACACCATCCACCGGGAGAGGTGTTTCAGGGCATAAACAGATGTCACTACAGTGTCTATGACCGAGAGGTCGTAGGTTAGAGTCCCGACGATGGCAGATTTTTCTACACTCGCTCGATACCTAGCTCAAATTCAGTCGCTGTCTGAAGGAAAGTTCTAATGGCTGGCTGCCATAATAGGTAGTTTTCCGTGATTTCTACGACCAGTACTAGGCGAATGACACAGCAGTAGTACCCCTAACAAACGTGCCACGGAACGCGCGCGATCTTACCTTCCTCTTCCTTCTCTTCTTCTCACCCCCTTACTTACACACACTTGTGCTAACATGCATTATCACATTATCGGGAAATCGGTCGGGAGCTCAAAACTTGTCCCTTGGTGATCCGCTGGTGGGAGATACCTGTTGGGAGAGGGGGACTACATTGTTATAATTGTGGAGTCCTAAGGCTGTAATGTTATTACTAGAGGGCGTGGCTCAGTGGTGAAGTCGCTTGCCTTTTTTTTTACCACTGAGGTTCCGGGTTCGATTCCTGTAGAATCCCCGTAGAACCTCACGTGAAATTTGTTAGCACAAAATGAGTTTGCATGCTTCATAGGGGCTAGTCAAACCCCTGTGAAATGTTCTAAACCCTACCCCAATCCTAATTCCTTCCCAATTCTGGCCGCTGAGTAGTGACGCAAGAGCGTGTAGTAGGTCCGCTACGCGGCAGTCCTCTTGACAACTGACAGCGACGAGATGTGATGGATATGACATATTGTTAATGGAGGATTACGCGCCCCGGGGCTTGGAGACTCGTTGCGGCAATTGAAGACAACCATTTTTTTTAAAGTAGCGAAATATGTGTGTGTGTGTATATATATATATATATATATATATATATATATATATATATATATATATATATATACGGTTCCTCTTAAAAACAATTATATAAATATAAATTATAAACAACGTTAATTATGTATACTAAAATGCTTTTAACAAAATTGAAATATTAATATTTTAATATTTAATTAATACTTTATGGTTTTAAATTAAAATAGTTGTGCAACAAATGGCACATATTTTTTCGTTCTAGTTAGTTTCCTATTTTGTTTGGCCGGAGCTAGCTTTTGGATCGTGCCCCATCCACTATCCAGTTGCGAAACATCATTTTTTTTTCTTTCACGTTTGCGCAATTATTGTTTTGTAATGGCAGGAACGAAAAATTGGTTTAAGAATATTATAGACTGTTTGGTGATTCCTGGCACGTTGACTACCAGGGTCATTAGTCCCGTAAGTGTAATGCCTGTTTTTTGGTCGGGAGGTGGTTTTGATATTTCCCTGCTATATGGCGAGTTCCGGCGCTGCGGGGTTTTCCTAACCAGGTATCTCCCACTAGCGGGGCACTGCCCGAGCCGGGACAAGCTCTCAGCTGCTGACGGGTCTCCCGGCATGTGTGGAAGTGTAGTGTGTGTAATGGATGAGGATGGGACAAATAAAAGGAAGGTGAGATCGCGCGGTCCGTGGTCCGTTTGTTAGGATACTGTTCCGGCATTCGTCTGGTGTTGATCGGAGAAATCACGAAAAACTACCAATCAGAGCAGCTGGCCTCTAGAATTATCCTCCAGAAAGAATTTTTTAGTATTTTTAGAAAAAACAAAAAAATAGAGCAATTTGGCTTTTATCTCATCTTATAGTGTACATTTAGCACTATTCCTACCAAAAGTTTAAAGAAAAAATTTGGATCCATTTTTCAGAAAATCTAGTTTATGTTATTTTTTAAAGTTACGCATATTACAGGTTATATTGCAGGAAAACTACTAAAATTTTCAAAAAAAATGTTAATGACCTTAATGAAATACCTAATTATGGAGAACAAATTTTAAATGAAGGAAAATGTCTATCTACAATTTTGTAGGAAGTCGTCGAAAAAACTTCACACTTTTGTAATTATCGAAAATTTAGACTTAACAGTGAAAATCAGACCTACGCCACCTTTATCAGTGTGTTTTACTTTATTCTTACAAGAAATTGAAAGAAAAAAAATGGAGCCATTTTTTGAGAATTACTTCCCTATTCGAGGGATACTATATAAATGCCCAACTGTGAGTGGAGTGTGATCGAAAAATTACGCTAGTTTTTTTATTTAAAATAATTAGGTCGAATGTGTCATTTTACCGATTGTGCAGAATGACGCAGGCTAAACTCAGCTCATTCTGCGATTTTATTTGGTTTTATTGATTGTCCGAAAATATGTTTGCTTGAAAGTTTCGTAACAAGTTAAAATGTACGGTTACTGAAAAAAATGTGGGGGAGGGGATTTCCCTCATTCTCCCTCCTTTGGATCCGCACCTGAGCTTTTGTGAAGCAGCCAAACACGTTTTGTTGGAACAAATTTCACATGAAAGGCGAGTGACTTCACTCTTGAGTCACGAGATATCTTGAGCCATGAGATTTTTCCCTGAGATGTCTTTACAAAGATTAATTACGCCCCCACCTAAAATTCTATACATACTGAGAAATGTCGAATATCGTGGGTTTCTTTTCAATACCATTTCTAGTTTACAAAGTACATCGGCACCAATTTCTCCCTGCACATCCTTCTATTTTTCAACAGCATTTTCCATTATGGCAATACATTTTTGCAGAGGAAGACCCGACATCTGCAGTTGTTTGATGTCTGCGAGCTGTCGAAGTGACTCCTATTGCAGGCCCCTGAATGGATTACTTTGGAATCACTAAAAGCACTTCTAGCTTCGCGAATACAAACAGCACATTCAGAGTCAAAAGAATCAACTATCGATTTAATTGATTCTACATGTTCACTGGCGGATCCACAGTGGGGCATCGGGGCCATGCCCTCCCCCCCCTCCCCAAGGCAAAGAGTTTTCGTTTTCCTTCCTTTATTTGGCAAAACTGATTTAAATGTTTATTAATGATCGAATTATGTAATTATTTTAATCCGTAAAGAACTTAATCACTCTCAAATTGAATGTCCCATTTCAGACTGTCTGGAGGCGGTAGCAATAAATCTAAAAACAGCCGATTCAGTATTAATAATAACATCTGCCTACAAACCACGTAATAAGAAATTCCCAGAAAAAACCTTGGATAAAATATTTAACTTCAATAAAAACAGTGCGTACAATAATAATAAGAAAATCATTATAATGGACGACTTAAATAGTAAAAATTAGGCATGGAACTGCAGAATTACAACACAATCAGGTCGTAAACTTTTACAGTTCGCTCAGAATCATAATATATTAATCCATGACCCCCTTGCACCCACACGGTATCCATTTAATAATAAGGTGCCCCGGACATTCTTGTGATAATTCTAACCACAAACATAAATTAACCCTTTTTTCACTCGGTAATACCTGATCTCGATTCGGATAATAATCCCATAATAATATCATTTCAGAATATTGCCAAAGTAAACAATATAAGAAAACTAATAAATAGTAAAGTAAACTGGAATCTCTTTAGACTAAAAATAGCCAAGCAATTTTCATTCACTAAAGATCTCAAAAACGAAACGGATTCTGATCTCCATATCAATAATCTAATAGAAGCAATAAGCCCCGCGGTTAAAGAATCATGTTAATCAGTGCAATCTAACAAACATTCATCTTACTGGCTACCGAAATACATCGTCGACTTGATAAAAGACAAACACAGAATTAGAAGAGACTGACAGCTGTATAGAAGGCCACACTTAAAAAGGAAATGGAACTCTTTATGCAAAAAAGGAAAATTTCTAATCGATGAATACAGATATAGTTAATTTAAGCACATTTTAGCGCGAATTATCCCCACCTCACCTTCTTCGGGGGACCACTATCAAAAAGGTTACCAGAGAGCAATCTAGAATACCACTCTAGAAAATCACTAATACCTACCACATCTACCAATCTAAAAAATCGGGCACCAGCATCCTCTATACAGACGAAGAAAAAGCGGAGGCGTTTGCTGTTCACTTTTCAAATATTTAAAAACCCAATCCAATAGTAAACCATTTGATTAAGCAACCTATATACTCCGCGGATGTAAGAACAAAATTCATATCCTCGGCAGAAATTAAACGCACAATAAACAGACTCAAAAACAGAAAAGCGGCTGGATACGACCTAATAAGTAGTCAAATATTAAAAGAATTACCAAAATACACAATTGCAGCAGT